TAATGAAAATATTTAGAGTTATGTGTGAAAACATTTTATCATGATTCAAACTTAGAATAAAACATCACAATATAACTTTCAAAAGAATTCTTTTTCAAAGCGCTTTACCTTGTTCATTCATCTGGGAAAACGAATTGTGTATGAACCAAAATGGTGAGAAATAAGTATATTGCTAACTTACCAGTTACAGTAAAATTTGGCAGAATAAAAGGCTGTAATGATAAGAATCAGACAAGCCATTTACTTATAAAATCGCTTAGATTGATGGAACTGGCAACAGTTATGTGAAAATTCCTTTTACGTTTCTTAAGAGGAATCGAGAATTGATAAAAAAAGATTTTTAAATATACCCACTAATCTTAATTTTTACCTATCTTTGATATTCTTAATTAGGCAACGTTAGAAGCTTTAACTTGATTAATTGGACTATGTTGGAAAGAAGTACCTTATTCTGACTTGTTTTTTGAACTAATGCTTTATCTTTGTTAAATCAGGTATCTTGGCTCGTAATATCCCAGAAGATAATGCTGACATGGCCAGACTTGATTTCAATCTTATAAGGTAGAAATTCGAAGTTGAATTTTTAATACATTAAGGATTAAAAATAAAGAGCGTGCTAAACTGAGTGCCCCTTTTTAAAGATCCAGATGAGTGTTAGGTTTAGTTTCCTGATTGTTCACTGTGATTATCTTACGTGTGACATTGTACATGTGTTAGCATTTTTGTTTTGCCAAGTTTATATCACCAAAATGGGTACTTGAACTAAAAACAAGCTTTGCTTTTTTTAGGAAGTTCTTATCTAAATTTTAGTACATATAAGCAACTTAGTTATTTGCATAAAGATATTCATTTTTTAAAAACATATGTAACAGCTTTATTCAGACATAATTCACATACCATATAATTCCCCAATTTAAAATATACAATTCAGAGGGGTTTTTTTAGAATATTCGGAGTTGTGTGGCTATTACCACCGTTAATATTAGAATATATTCATCATCTCCCTCAAAAAACAACAAAAAATTCCCATTAGCGTTCATTCTTCATTTTCCCTAACACCGTCTAACCCTAGGCAACTACCAGTCTATTTTCTGTCTCTATGGATTTATCTATACTAAATATTTCATATTGGTGAAATATTCCTACAAAATGTCCTTTGCGACTAGCTTCATAGCACGTTTTTAAGGTTCATCCATGTTAGAGTGTATATCAGTACTTTATTTGCTTATTGCTATAAAATAATCTATTGGGTGGATATACCCCACTTTAATTATTGGTTCATAAGTTGATGGACATTTGGATTGGTCCCACTTTTTGCATGTTACGAGTAAAGCAGCCATGAACGTTCACATATAAGATTTTTTTTGTAGACAAATATTTTCATTTTGGGTATATACCTAGGAATGGTCAGATAACTATCTTTGACCTTTCGAGGATCTGCCACACTGTTTTCCAGTGCTATATCATTTTACATTCCCTGAAGCAGTGTATGACTCTAAATGTCCTAGGTAATAGTGGTCACATTCCAAAATGATGAAGTTCTCTGTAGCCTTGTATTTTTACCTTGCTGTTAAAATTTTGTAAAGGTCTTTGATGGCTTGTTAGTATAATGGGTAGCTAAGACTACCCAGGCAGCAACATTACAATATGATTTAGAGGGAGTAATGTGCACCAAGCACACCATCTGTTGACTAAAGCCACTTCCGTTCACCTATGCTCTGCAACAGTGGGAGATTCTGACTTCTCAACATAATTTTTTAAGAGTTCTAAAGTGTCAGGCTCACAATTCTACATTTTAGATCTTTAGATCTTTTAGATTTTAGCTGCTGACTAATTTTTCCTATGTAGCTGTAAACCACATAAGTTGAGTTTTTGATGACTCAATTAACTACATTCTTCTTTTAGAGTTGTTGTTTGTAATCTGTATCCCTTTGTGAAGACAGTGGCTTTTCCAGATGTAACTGTTGAAGAGGCTGTTGAGCAAATTGATATTGGTAAGTAGAAAAGCCAGTTTTGAAGACTTAATAGAGGAGAGGATTATTTAAAATTTAAATTAGATTTTTGTTTTGAAATTGACTCTTGAGGGAGTAGAAAATAGTTAATGCTTCCAGGTTGTATTCTGGGATGACTATAACTCATCTATATTTTCGAAGCTATTTCGTTGTATACAGATCCATCTGCATTATTTTTCCCTTATTTTTTAAGTCAAAAATTGAAGTATGTGTACATCGACTATATTTGAAAGAGGTTAAACTGATATGAAAATGCAAATTGTCTTTTGTTCTTCAAAGGTGGAGTAACCTTGCTGAGAGCAGCAGCCAAAAACCACGCTCGAGTGACAGTAGTGTGTGAACCAGAGGACTATGCAGCCGTGTCCACAGAGATGCAGAGCTCGGACAGTAAAGACACCTCCCTGGAGACTAGACGCCAGTTAGCCTTGAAGGTAGGGGCGCACTTTTACCTAGTTCAGTGTTTGCAAAACAAAATAATACTCATTCTCGCTTGATTATCTCATCTACCAAGGCCCTGCTTGGAACTGCTGTCCTTTTGTTATAAATGAAGAGACCAAATACTAGAGAGGTAATTTCTTTAAAAGATTGAAAGAGAATTGGAAAGGGAATAATTGCCTCTGTTATTGAGTCTTATTTGGTGTCTTATCCTACACAGGCGTGTGTGTGCGGTGAGGGGGTGTCATCCGTGTGCTACCTAAGATCACCTCGGACCCCCTTTGGGAAATGCTGCTAGTTTTTCACAAAATTTACACCTTTTGTAGGCTTTCACTCACACGGCACAGTATGATGAAGCAATTTCAGATTACTTCAGGAAACAGTATAGTAAAGGAATATCTCAGATGCCCTTGAGGTATGGAATGAACCCACATCAAACTCCTGCCCAGTTATACACACTGAAGCCCAAGCTTCCCATTACAGGTAAAGACTGAGTGTTCTGTGGCATGGTTTGCTGTGTCTGGGTGTGTGTGTGTATTTTTGTCTGTCTGTCTGTCTGTCTGTTATATCTGATGTGGTTCCCGTTTAGAAGATAAAGTAAGTTACAAAATACCTCTTATAGCCACCTGAAGTTTAAGATGCCAGGTGAACTTGTGAGCAAAAAATATTGAGATAATCTTGGGTTCTGGAGAGAGGTCAAGCCAGAGAAACAGATTGGAATGTGTTTGTCGTGTAGATAACTTTGAAGACATAGGATAGGGTGGGATGGCCTGGACTTCATGGAAGCAGGTCAAGATCGAGCCTTGGGGTAGCAGTGGAAGAACCAGCCGAAGAAAAACCAGGTTGGAAGTCTCGTAGAGTTTCATCTGATTGGAATGCTGCCCAGAACAGAAAAGTGACTGTTTGATTTGGGGACGTTACCAGAGCCTTTTCCTTGGAATGATGGATCTGGAAGCCCAGTTGACGTGGGCTGAAATAGGAACGTGAGGTTAGGAAATAACAGAGATAAAGATAATTCTTTGACAAAGAAATTAGGACTTCATGCGTTTGGAAACTTACAAGAGGATTTTTCAATTTTGTGTTGTGTTTTGTTCTGAAGAAGGGCTGTTGGAACATGTCCTACTGGTAGAAGTGAGGGTGGGTGCAGGGGACAGAGGAGAGTATTGTGGGTGTCGAAGGGCGTGAAGGCCCAAGCATTGGAGGGTTGGTGTTGGGTGAGAGCAAGGCCAGCATCCTTCGTAGCCTGAGAAGGCAGGCGCAGAGCACTCGGGGTGGTACACGGCAGTGGAAAGATGCAGGAGCCCCTGTCTGGTCCTCTTTGGTCCCTGTCACCAGCTGAGGGAGAGGAGGAGTGAGCAGGAAGCAGTGTGGGAGGTCTGAGGAGAAATGGAAATATTCTTTTCTTTACCTTCACACTTAGCAGATCGATAAGTTCTATTATCTACTCTACCTCAAATATATTTTGAATCTCTTCTAACACTGCCCAAGCCCTTAGTCACCCTGAAAGTCTCCCAGACCACAGTGATCTTAACAGGCCTCTGCTTTTTCTTCTTTTATTCTTCCCAGCTAGTCATCTTTTAAAAATGTAAATCAGATGCTGTCACACCCTACTTAAAACCGTGTATTGACTTTCTTTCCTATTGAAGGGGGCTGGTCCTGTCCTACAAACCCTGTCATCTCTGGTCTTACTCCCCCACAGTCCCTCCCAGACCCATTTCCCCTCAGCAGCTTTTGTTTGTTGAGCAGGCAGAGCTTCCACCCCAGGGCCTTTGCGCTGGTTGCTCCTTTCATGCAGAATTCTCTCTGGTCCTGATTTCTTGTCATTCAGATCTCACCTGAACTCTCACCACCTCAGAGAATCCTCCCTTGACCACTCAGACCAAAGGAGCGGCCCATCACACTTTTGTTGCATCGCTCTATTTTGCTGCATATGTTTTAATTGTCTTCTCGCATGAGGATGCCAGCTCCCTAGAACAGTGACCTTGTCTGTCTTTGTTCATTGCTTCTTGTTTGTTCATTGCTGTATCCCCAGGGCTTAGAATATTGCTTGTCATGTTTCCTAAGTATTTACTGAATGAATAATTAGAAACCTGACATTTTGCACGACTTTCTACTTCTAGAATTTCTTAAAACATTTATCTACTGTTAGATCTCAGATATTTCCTCCTTATAGTTATATGTTCCCCATTTTGATTCTGAGACAAAAAAATACTTCATGTACTTTCAGTGTCCCATACTTTTCATTCTCAAAACCTTTTGCGTTTGTAGTCAGCCGGGGCAACTATTTCTTTTTTTCAGGTACTACTTTTTAGAGCAGTTTTAGATTTAAAGCAAAATTTCTCAGAAAGTGCAGAGTTCCTGGACCCAGACGTATCCCTCCTTCCATCTTTTCCCCTGTTAGTGTCTGGCATTGGCGTGGTGCCAAGTGGTTACAACTGATGAACTGATATCGATTCATTAACTAAGGTCCATAGTTTACGTTAGGGTTTACTCTTTGTCGTGTGTTCTATGGGTTCTGGCAAATGCATAATGTCATGTATCTACCTCGATAGTATCATGCAGAATAATTTCACCCCTGAAAATTCCCTGCATTGTACCCTGTAACCCCAGCAACCACTGATCTTTCTGCCGTCTCCATTGTTTTGCCATTTCAGGATGTCATAACATTAGAATCATACTATGTATGTAGCCTTTTCATCACTCTGTCTTCTTTTATTCAGTAATGTGCATTTAAAGTTCTCCTATGGCTTTTGTTGGCTTGAGATCTCATTTGTTATCACTGAATAATATTCCACTGTATATGGATTTACCATAGATGGTTTCTCCATTCACCTATTGAATGGAAAGACAATTTTTGACAGTTAAGAATAAAGCTGCTAAAAACATTCAAGTCCAAGTTTGTGTGGACTTGTTTCCAACTCATTTGTATAAATATCTAATATTTTCTCTCATTAACTATTTATTGCCTATTTTGTTTCTTCTCTGCCTCTTCCATAAGCTCCAGGAGGACAGTGATTTTCGGGGTGGAAGGAGGGACTGTTTTATTCACTGATAATATCCCAAGTACCTGAAACAGTGCCTAACATTGCAGTAAGCTGTCAGGAAATATTTGGTAAAGTTCTTTAAAAGTATCTAGTGTCTAGATAACGTAAAGGAAATGCAGTTATTGCAGTTATTTTTAATTAATGGTCTACTATTTTTTTGTATGTGCTGAACTTACAAATGTATATTCACAAGAGATTAGCTTCTAATATTGTAAATAGGCGATGGCAGAACTCTGAAGTTGGAGTCTTTTTAACTACTTTTCAAATTTGAGTTGGACCTAATGAATCTGGTGTAAAAGAAGAAAAATCCAACACATTTTCCTCCTCCTCTCCTCCCACTCACAGCTCTTGCACTGTAGTTGGTAATATTATTTCTTAAATCGACAAGGTTTATAACTTAAGTTTTATACTGTCTCTTAATTGCCATAATTGATTTATCTTATTTCTGAACTGACATGGATCCCTGATCATCATTTGTCATTCTCTCTTCCTAAATTTCTGTTGGTTTACTTCTAGATTGACTGGATTTGGTCTTCCAGTAGAGAGGGTGTGGGGGGCTGGACAGAGAGGGAGAGAATGAATGAGAATGTTTGGTAAGACGGGCTCAGGTTCTAGAGTTCTGTTCACTTTTCTCACCAAGTTCTTAGTTGTTTGCGTAGATCTGTTTGCCTCTTTATTATACATCATTTAAAACATTTGTACATCTTCATATGTTTTTATGTTTTAAGAAATGTACGTATATCTGACTTTATTGACCCTACTTGGTAATGTGTATATATTTTTATATGTAGTTCTAAATGGAGCCCCTGGATTTATAAACTTGTGTGATGCTTTGAATGCCTGGCAGCTGGTGAAGGAACTCAAGGAAGCTTTAGGCATCCCAGCTGCTGCCTCTTTCAAGCACGTCAGCCCAGCAGGTAAAGCACTGTACTCTGGAACACTGGAACTGTTCAAAATGCACCCTTTGATTTTGAAAAGAATTGTCAAGTTCTAATGTGAATGTAGACATTCTATGAAGTCTGAAACCACTTTTGTCAAGTCTGTTAACACTTTCAATATGGTAACATGATAAGACCTGATAAAATAACACACATAACCTATTTATATATATAATTGTGTAACATTGGAAAATCAAGAAGTAGTTTTTTTGTAGTGGAAACATGAAGTTTTAGAAAATAAAGAAAGGAAGTAGCTTGATGCAGTATGACTAAATATTTTTCTACATGGTTGAAGATGGAACTGAATAGACCTAAAGAAGGTATTCTTAGGACACTTTATAGATACCTTTTTACTTTTTGTATTTAAATCAACTCCACAACTTTGTTATTTATATCGCCAGATCTACTGACAGACAGTCCAACACATAATTAGTTCTCAGGTGTTTATTCGATGTTAAAATGACATGAGCAGGAAAGAAATGAATGGCATGTGGTATCAAGCAGGATGGAGAGAGTGAGTAATGAGGTAAAACCAGCTTCACAGACATGCCTGGTGCTGGCAGGTCTCATACGTGTGGCTATTTTCAGAGGCCAGAGAAGACGTTTCCCTCTGCTCACCCTCCCCTGCAACTGTATTTTTGGTGTTTAATTATCTGGCCAAACAGATTTTTATTTAATTTGGTACAGGTGCTAGAAATTATGCTGCATAGACTAGATCTTAAGAAAAATGTTCTGATTTAGGAGTTGACAAGTGGCAACTTGAGATTTTTGGTTGCTTCATGATTTTCTGTACCAGGTGCTGCTGTTGGAATCCCACTTAGTGAAGACGAGGCCAAAGTCTGCATGGTCCATGACATGTACAGGACCCTGACACCCGTATCAACTGCATATGCAAGAGCGAGAGGTCAGAAGAATAACAGCATTTTTTGTTTTTTAATAGAAAAAGCAATGTTTTACCTAAAGTAGAATAAAATGGTAATATCTTTGTTTCATTGTAAGATTTCAAATTATCTTTTAATTTGTTTTTAATACTTTGAAATGATTTATGGGCACCATGGAATAAATTTGTTTATGAATGTGTATTGTTGGTATTTGAATGTAATAAATGGAAGCATAATTGGAATCTGGTGCATTTAATTTCAGATTAGGCTACTGAATGCATTTGTATTACTTAATATATGACTAAAATTATATGGTTATTCTGACTGTACTGAATTTGGTTAGAATTGCGTGTTTCACAAATATCTAATTTGTGAGTTTAATAACCCGTGAATGTTATTATACCATTTATGGAAAATATGGAAGATTATTGAGAAACCAGATATCGTAGTTTACCTTCTGCAACAGGGGTTAGCAAATTATGGGCAGAATTCAGCCTGCCACCTGTTTTTTGTAAATAGTGTGACAGGAGCAGGGCCACGTCCCTTTGTCGATGTGTAGTCAATGGCTGACTTCAAACTACAACCAGAGAGTTCAGTGGTTGCACCAGAGATCATGTGGCCACAAAGCTTAAAAAACATTTTACTCTCAGGTTGGTCACAAAAAGAGCTGCTCTAATAGGTAAAATTAAAGAATACTTTCTTACCACTTATTTTGGTTAAATGACTTATTAATTTGTTATTTAAATCTTATGTAAACAATAACATTAAATTTAGAGAAATGGATTTTATATGATGACATTGGGTTTTTTTAAACACTATTTTCTAATTTGTGATAAACATCTCGTTTTAATTTTTCTTTACAGGGGCCGATAGGATGTCTTCATTTGGTGACTTTGTTGCATTATCTGATATATGCGACGTCCCTACTGCCAAAATTATCTCCAGAGAGGTTGGTGGACATTTATGTGTCCTGATCCATGCAGAACTGAGGAAAGCTTTATTTGTTCATAGAAACCATAACCTGTGATGTTTATATTTGTACTCTCTGTAAACTAGTTAAGTTTATCATTTACAATGTTTATATTTTATGTAGAATATGAATCCTTGACTGAATTGTAATTTTGAGATTTAGTGAATGTTTCAAATGGATATTTGGCTGTCATAAGTTTTAATTTATATTTCCTTTAAATTTTCTAGTAGTCGTTATCTGAATGCCAAGGTTAGTGTTTTCCAAAGAGCAGAGGATGCCATTTTGGATGGTGATATAATAATTAACTTTAAACTTTCATAGGTTTGTAATGAAAGAGACCATTTAAAAGGAAAAATTACAAATTCCGAAAAACTAGCCTCCATCAACTGAATACCAAACAAACATTCTAGAAAAATCAGGGTTTTGCTAATGGTGGAGAGACCAACAGAATAAAAAAAGCAGGCACCTTGGAGAGAGACTAGTAGGTAGAAGTAAAGCCTGAGGGGACATGTGGCTTGACAGTGTTTAGTTGCTTTAGGGCTTCTTCCCATGACCACGACCATCTCCAACTGCAACAGAGCTGGCCTGAGTACCATCGGTTATAGCAAGGCTTTGGAGTAGACGAGCCATGTGTGATTTTTGTATCTTTAGTTATAGGATATTTAGTCTTTGATTTAGTGTGAACCACTTATGTTGCTCAAGCCAGGTCCTGGCCAAGCTGGCACCAGAACATGCTCTTCCTACTGCAAAACACCAGCCATAAACAGAATAGTAAAACATTTTTCTTCCTAAGGCATATGTATTAGAGCGAATCACTGTTAAAACTAAAATGAATAACCAAAAATTTTGAAAGGACAGCACACAACACAAGATGAAGTGAGCTATAGAAAGTTGTATTCTAACATAGGCATATCTTTTTCAACTATAGTATAGTAAGCTGTCACTTATTATCATTGATGGGTTCTGTGACTATAAAGAAAACAACCTATAATGAAACCAATTAATTGATATAAACAAGTTTAAGTTCCTATATCACCGCATCAATGAAATCATGTTATTCAAGAACCTGCTGCATTAGCATATATTGGAGGTAGAAACCGGAAAATACTGCTACATTTATTTAAAATAGATAATTGTCTCTAGATTTTTTAAGGAGGTAGTCTCTGATTTTTTAAAATAGAAAAAATATATATTTACAGGTATCTGATGGTATTGTTGCCCCAGGATATGAAGAAGAAGCTTTGAAAATTCTTTCTAAAAAGAAAAATGGGAACTACTGTGTTCTTCAGGTTAGTGAAATTCATGTTCAAAAGATAATTCACTCTTTCATTTTGTGTCTCTTTCCCCCCATATTTAATCTTTCCCTTGTACTGACATTCTTCTCATTTATCCCTCTTTATTCTAGTTTCTTTATCCTTAATCCTACAAGTGTTTTTTATTACTATTTTTTGGTTTAAGATGAGGGTAGCTTCTTTACTCTTAATATTAAATTTTTAAATTTC